TATATGTGTGTGTATATATATATATATATATATATATATATATATATACAGTGCTGCTTGAAAGTTTGTGAACCCTTTAAAATGTTCTATATTTCTGCATAAATATGACCCAAAACATAATTCTATTTTCACACAAATCCTGAAAGTAGACAAAGAGAATCCAATCAAACAAAGGAGACAAAAATATATACTTTGTCATTTATTTATTGAGAAAAATTATCCGGTGAGTAACAGCACCGGGAGGGTAACAGTGGTCTTGAATTTCCTCCATTTGTACACAATCTGTCTGACCGTGGATTGGTGGAGTCCAAAATCTTTAGAGATGGCTTTGAAACCTTTTCTAGCCTGATGAGCAACACCAACTCTTTTTCTGAGGTCCTCGGAGATCTCATTTGTTCATGCCATGATACACTTCCACAAACATGACCAAACTTTGATAGATCCCTGTTCTTTAGATAAAACAGGGCATACACTGACACCTGATAGTCATCTCACTGATTGAAAACACCTCTGAACAGATGGACTCTAATTTCACCTTCAAATTAACAGCTAATCCTAGAGATTCACATACTCTTGCCGCTCACAGATATGTAACATTGGATCATTTCCCTGAATAAATAAATAAATGACAAAGTATATATTTTCATCTCATTTGTTTGATTGGGTTCTCTTTGTCAACTTTCAGGACTTGCATGAAAATCGGATGACATTTTGGGTTATATTCATGCAGAAATATAGACAATTCTAAAGGGTTCACAAACTTTCAAGCAGCATTGTATATACTAAAACAAAGGTTCTGATTCTGAAAAAAAAAAGATTCTGAAGGGGAAGCCGAATCCTACAAAACTTGGAGGTTACAGTTATAATATAATATAATATAATATAATAGGTTGTAGTTTGGCCTACAAATTAACAGCATTAACATTAAAAAGCTGGTTTCAATATAAATTTTTAAACATTTGAGGAACTGAAACATTTAGTAATATAATATGCATTTAATATGCATTAATAAATAAAACACATATTGTAATGTGTTATTACATAATCAATTGTACACACAAACAAACAAACACACACACACGCTTAAATATTTATAATAAACATTAACAATAACCTAAATAGACAGAGGGGCAATTAATGCGCTATGAGCACATTAATTCATAAGTCCATTAATCATTAATTTAGGATTAGTTAACTGCGTAGACGATCACTTAGCTAACCCAAATAACGACTGAAGTGCCGCCAAGTAATTTCTTGAATTTATTTTGAGTAAAACCTTTTAAAACATATGAAATTACATGTAGGTCAGTTGACCACTTGCGTCAAGGTCTCAACTCTTAGATAATGTTTCAGTTACTGGTTCTGCAGTGAATGACCTACCTTACAGAATGCAGAAGAAAAACAACTGCAGCCTCATGTGAATTTACAAATCTGAGGGGTTTGAGAGGTGTTGCTATAGAAATGACATATTCTGGTTTGTAGCCACGGCAGCTATGTATATATAAATTGCATTAGATAAGAGCTATACGTGGTATTTGAGTAATGTTTTTTTTTGCTGATGACTATAATACATTATAAACAGAAACATGTTTGTAAGTAAATATTTGCGACAATGAGGCCTATGAAGAAACTACAATATCGTCTTACCCTGCCAAGCCGAGAAAATGATACAGAGGACCGGTATAATGACGGCGTAGAAGGACATGCTGTCCAGTACACTTTCCGTTACACCAGACAAGAACGGTTACGTTTGCATCCTTTGAAAAAAGACCTTAAAACGATATATTCTGCCACGACTCGCAGACAGCGGAGCTCCGAATCAAGCGGCTTCGTGATCAACATGCGATCTGAGTGGAATGACACACCGCCCGTGACGCTACACGCCCGCACGCCAAATCTCCAGTACCAGCCTCAGCCTCCTCATTGATCAAATAAATTAAAGGACGTTCACTTCGCCTGGATAACGCTTATATTTCATTATATTTCACTCCTGTACAGCTCGCCTCGGCCGCTCTGAATAGTTCACATTTCTGGAGATAAATACACTCACTCACATTATATGTAGAGACTACACTGCGTCTTTTCTTAAAGTAAGAGGGCTATGTTACATTTAATTAAATGTATTAATCAGTTCGCAGTACATACATATATAGTTTTTTTTTTGTTTCATTACCTCTAACTCAAAGTTTGATAAAAATATTCCCATAATTTGTCTGCTACAAATCATATTTGTTTTAAAATATAAAACTTGTGTATATTGTCTACTTAAAATGTGTAAATTAATGTAGAGTGTGCCACTACCAGTGTAGCTTGTACTGGAAAACATAGTAATTAAAACTTAAAAGAAATCTGTAAATAATTGTGTAATAAAGTCCATATTTTCCTAAACCTTAATTTAGTTCTTAAAAGTATTTTTTAAAACAAAACTGAGGCCACATTTGTTTTTAACAAAACAATGCCTAGTAACCTAACAACATACATCTTATATGTAACATACAAATTTGTACGTTCATAATCAAATGTGTTCAATTCTAATGGTAAAGTACATTTACTAACATTTATTGCACTCTGCAAAATAGATTTGAGTAAATGAAGATTGTTTACAGTAGAAAAATAAAATACTTTCATACAGATTTCTAAATCTGCAAAAATAACCTAGACATTTAAAATTTAGACCTTAACAGGCCTTTTATTTTGAAATTCTTCTCATACCTCAATGGAGACAATGCTGCTAATAAGACTGTAGGATCACTATGGTAACACTATATTATTCTTCATGCTCACCCAACAGTGCAGCCATAAAGATCATGCTCATGAGACCACATAATGACAAACAACATGGAGAACTTTAATAAGGCTGTCAACAGTTCCAACTTCTTTTCAAAGTGTAGATTCATCATCTGTCAGAAGTCTTTTTCCTTCCTTTACAGAAAGATTTTTTAACCATCATGAATTAGTAGAGTGAGAAGGTACAAATGGACAGTTGATATTTTTAAATCATTCCTATACTGTTACCAGTCCCTTTGCAAAAAATTCATTCATCATACTAGACAGGTCTATCAAAGCACAGCATTGTTTTGACATCCGATTCAAATGCACCCACATAGTCCTGTCTGTGTGCCCCTCACACCCTGCTCTTATAACATCCCCGGGAATCATTGTCCATTCCTTCCCTTAATAAAACACAGGGAGAGGCACGTAAACCTTTAAGTCCTCTTTTGGGTTGTGGATCAAGAACGTCGTCCGAAAGGCATTCCGAGTCCACTCAAATGTTCAAGTTTGAAGAAAAGATGACTGAGTGGTAAAGACGGAAACAAAGGACAAGGAGCCGATGTTGGGTATACAGGTCACATACCGATGGACTGCAAGACTCCTCTCTCTACTTCATTCAAGTGGCTTGAAAACATGCTATAGCAAGGCTGCTGAGCAAACTGGGTAAGGAAATCTGTCAGATACGCCTGTGGAAAAAAACACGGAGACGAGCAATGAAGATATGAGGTCTGGTTACAGCAATACTTTAGTGTCGATGCCAAATAACTCACCTGAAGGTCAATTTGATATATGGGATCCTTCAGAGCATCTGGATCCTCCTCCTCATCATCCTCATAATAATCATCGTCTATGGGGAAGTCACAATAGGTGTTACAGACTATTTATAGAAAAGACAAGGTAGTGAATATGCAACGATTTGTGTACTTCATTGTTTTACTCATATTTGTGTTCTTTTGCTTTTACTAATAAATCCTAACATGTAAAGAACAGCACATGTCTGTCCACCACAAAAGCTTTGCAAAAGAAGTGAAGCAGTTATTATTGTTAACTAAAACTATTAAAACATTTTTGTTAATTGAAAAAGCTGAAATAAAATAAAACATATTAGATGAAAATTTATTAAAAAAATTAAGTATTTAAGTAGTTAGCAAATTAGTAAACAAATACATTTAACCTAGATAGTTAATTTAAATGTAAAAATACTAATATTTCATTTAATGGTATTTATAAAAAAAAAAAAATTTAAAAAAATTACAAAAGCTCATAACAAAAGTACTAAAATTTAAAGTAAATTAAAAAGAAATATAAATCAAAATATAAAAATAAAATTCTAATTCTAAATATTAATAAAAAAATTAATAGTATATAAATACTAAAATAACATTGATGACAATCTTTTTTTAAAAATAAAGCTTACGGTATAGGTTTGATTCCTAGGAAATGTGTGATATATATCACAATATATGCAATATAAATGCAAATGTAACTGTTAGTAATATGAGACTTCACCATATTTGTTGCAGGCAATGAGATCAGACAGAAGCTGTCCTGCTAATCCTTCATCTTCTTCCTCATCATCCTCTTCCTCAGCCAGATCGTCCCACATGCCACCAGTGTCTGCAAAGCAAATGCACTAAACTTAAGACGGCTCCACATTTCAATGTCAACGATCAATTCTAATACTAGGGGTAAATAGTTAAACCACACAAGTACCTTGGCTCCAGTCTGCAGGATTTGCCCTATTTGCATTAGCCTCCACCACAGAAGACAGTTCATTGACGATGAGTTTAAAGATCTTTACCAGCAAAGGAATGTTGGTCCACCGCTGTGGGTCTGAGAGAAACAGATCAGTCAGATATCTGAGACAATAACAATTATTAATAATCATTCATTTGGCAGTTTAAGAGATCATTAACTTACTCTTGGCTGATTTGGAACGTGTACAGATTCCCTCGTCTGGATTAAAAATTTCATCTCCTTTGACGACTATATCTTGGAGGCGCTTGTCATTTGTATTCAGACCATGCTGGAGAAGTTTACACAAGGCAACAGCACTGTGGACAGAGCGATTACAGTGTTATTTCAAACGGAAGCTGTGCAATTTCTTCAAACACACTGCAGACATGACTGGAAACCCTCACCTGACTTTGCCTTCATACTGGCCGTAGAACAGATGTTGGCGACTCATCCACTCAGCCATGACAAACTCTAGGGCAGGTTTCCCTGTGGGACCTGGAAGACTGCATAGGAATTCCAGCAGGGGCTCCAACTGGGAATGGACCAGGTGGGCAAAAACCATGATCAGGGACTGTAAAATGAAGAGCGAGAATGTATTTCACACCTCATTTGAGCCAGCAGCTACAGCACAATTCAGACTTATCTGCTGTACAAGAAAATTAAAGGGGTCCTATTATGCTTTTTCTTTTGAAAATGTCAAACAGTAATAATGCCAAAATCAGTAAATATTTTAAAGGGGTCATGACATGAGAAATCAAATTTGCCTTGATCTTTTGGCATATAAGAGGTCTTAGTACCATTACAACATCCTGCAAGTTTCATAGCTTAAAATATCCTCATTATAAATAAAGCATTTATTCAATCAAACTCCAAGCACAGCTCGTTTGGATCTGAGGTGGCATGTGACGTCACAAAGGCACAGACATTTGCATAAACACTGCCTCCAGAGCAAGACATCGATGAATAGTCATCATCTCACCATAGGCCCCGCCCACTGGCGTTCAGTCACTTCAGACACTTACCTACACTGAGTGTCACGTCTAAAGCAAATTGAACCCATTATAGCTGCCGCTTTCTTGTCTATACCGGATAGAGTATACAGATGCACGTTCACTTTCTGACATAGTCTGTCGACAACAGGACAAACGGAAGAGTGAAAGACCATTTGCTTTGATGCATTTGGTTTAAACAGCTAGTTTGCATCTCTGCATAGACATCAGAAGAATCCCAGCATTAGAAACAAGCAGATGGTCCATTTTAAATGGCATCCTGGATCGTATCGGAGGATCATACGTACATTTGTTTGGAGCATTTTGTTTTGTAAACGAGGCAAAATGTAATGGAGAGTTTGCAAAGGAACATTTGTTGAAAGATGAAGCTGTTGGATCTGACTGCAGCTGCATCGCAAACCGTAAGTAAATGATTTCATAATGCTTTGTCTGTAAATTATGGTTTTATATGGATGTTTTCAAAGCAATTATTCACATGCAGTAGTGAGGGGGGCGTTGATATGGTTTCATATGCAATGACGTTAGCTAATCATAACAGTGGCCGATTACTGACAAGCCTTAAAGGACCCGCCCCTTGAAAACAGATCATTTTTAGATAGAGGGTCAGAATGAGGGTTGAAAATAATCATTTTTTCACATTAGTGATGCACGGATGAGCTAAAACGTCACCCAAATCCACAGCTTCAAATAAATTATCCACCCGCCAACCGCCTGCACCTGTATTTTTGTCTGATTTAGATAACCGCACCCGATCATCACATTAGGGTTCGTACGGTCATGAAAAACCTGGAAAAGTCATTGAACAGCAATTTCCAGGCCTGGAAAGTTTTGTAAAAATAAATAAACCCAGAAAGTTTTTGAAAAATTATGAAAATCTATTTCACAATTCTCTGTATAATAGAATACCGTTTAATCAGGTGCTGAATATCGTTGCGGCATTGCGCATACATCGCATTACTCATTCCCGCAGCTTTCGACTTTAAAATGAGGGAAACTGCTGCAAAACATTTATTCAATATAGTGTGTAGGTTAGATGAGTAAATAAATCCACACAAACCATCAGATGAAAACAGCGTAGGTGATTCAGCTGTACTGCATCTTCTCTCTTTGACTTTCTCTTCACATCGATGCATCTAGAGCTGCTGCACACTGCGATGTAAGACTTTAGCTCGCGTTTCAGGACAGTTGACAGAATTGTCAATATCCTAATCAGTCATTGTTGCATCGTCACAAAAATTTATTATTTTCACGTCTTTTTAAGCCATTCGGTACTCGCGCTCTCCAGTGGCGCTTTTCTGTGCGCTCGAGTACCAAATTGAGAAAGCACAGTCGGTTTTGTCTTAAGTTAATGTAAACAGTTGCTAAATAAAACGCATGAGTATCAGTAC